ACGTGAAATGTAACATTCCTCTATCCTTTAACCATTGAGAGAATTCTTTAGACATGAACTCACATCCCCTATCTGTCATAATTTGCTTTATTCTGATATTATGTTGTGTTTCTATACGTTTGTAGAATTCCTTAAATTTCTGAAATGTTTCATCCTTGTGCTTTAATGTGTAAACAAAACCATATCGGCTGTAGTCATCCACTATTGTTAGGAAGTAACGTTTTCTATAGGTAATTGAGGGACTTAATGGACCAACTAAGTCCATATGTACCAAATCAAAAATATTGTTAGTTGATCTGTTAGATTTTTTTGGTCTGGGACTGGTTTTTAGTTTGGTGGACTTACATACTGAGCATTCCAAATAATTTTCACAATTTTTTATTTTGACACCTTCTGCGTGTTCAGTCATTTTTTGTACTACAGGAAAGCTTGCATGTCCTAACTTCCTGTGTAAGATGTGAGCACACTCATCATGAATTGGTTTACCTATTTTTGGTTTCTTTTCCTGTATGTGTTTTTGTGATCATGAGTTATTCTACACTCATCATTGTCACTGTTACTGACATTTTCATCATCTGCTTCAATACAATCTTCCATATTTGAATCAATGTTATGTAAACATCTTTCTTTAGTTATCAGATAGGGTAGACCTCCTTTTATCATTACAGTACCTACATTTGTTTTGTTCTTTTCTATAGTTGCTTTCCCCTTTGAGAGAAAACTATATTGATATCAGATTCTCTGCTTAATTTTATGGCACTTAGTATGTTGTGAGGTATTTCTGGGATTAATAATACCCCCTCTATTTTCCCTAGACCAGGCAAGGTCACATTTCCTTTGCCTAGTACTTGAACCTTTTCTTGATTAGCTACCTTTATCACAAACTTATCTTCTATAAATGAAGATAATATACTTTTGTTGTTGGTGGTGTGATTTGTTGCACCAGAGTCAATAAGCCAATTGTTATTCTCATCCTGCTGTGTTCTGGTGCTGTCTTGTTTATTTAGCCCATTCAGTGACCCAGATTTCCTCTCTTTTGAATTTTCTCTACCCCTCTACCTTCTTTGTAATTTGGTGGGCTTCTATATTTGTGTCTATCTGTGGAAGATTGTCTGTAATTATATTTGCTCCTATATTCTGGTCTATGTCTCTCTCTTGAGACTTTGGAGCAGTCTCTTCTACTATGTTCCCTGGATCCACAATTGTAGCATCTAAAGGCCTCATTATGTTTATCTTGAAAGACTACTTTCCTAAAAGGTTTGTGGTCTGTTTGGTTACTGGATCGATTTTTTCTTGAATTGTCTTCTGCTATCAATTTGTTAGATAGACTTTCTATGGATAAATATCCCAAATTAATGGTATCTAAGTGTGACATAAAGCTATCCCATGATGGATCAAGTGAATTGATAATAACACTTTTCATTGTTTGATCTGAAATCACTTCCCCCCTCAATTGTAGCTCAGCTCTTATTTTGTTTAGATTTATCAAATGCTCACTTATAGAAACCCCTGGTTTTACTCTAGAGGAAAAGAAATCCTTAGACATTCTTGTGGTTGTAGCTACGCTATCGCTGTGAAATAGATTAAACATGCATTGAATTATTTCTGATACAGTTAGGTTTGGTTTGATGCTATGATACATTGCAGGAGACACGCTAGATATTATTATGAAAAATGCTCTATGATGTAAACAATCTATTTTTAAAGTCCAAGGTCTTCTTGGAGGGCTAGTTATAAAGAATAGTAAATTTTCTTTCATGAAAATAACCTGAAGCTGTTGATACCACTCTTGTAAATTAATGCCATCAATTCTAAGTTTTGGGAAGTCACTGGGTAAGTTACCTACATTATTCTGTCCATTACTTACAACCTGGGGCAGTCCGTGATCTCTCAAGTGCAGGAAATTACAGAACGGCATTGGGATGCTTGCAATGAGTCTGCGCGGTTCTCTGGCCAGTTCAAGTCCTTCTGGGTCGTCTACGTAGTTTCGCACATGCGCGTTGTTCATTTCTTCTTTGGTGGCGTCGTGGAAGGTTCTCTCCCTTTCAGCTCTCTCGATCCGCTCCTCCTCAGATGAGTCGGTCTCTGGCTCGGTTTTTGGGGTTCTGGTGGTGGTGACGGTTCTTTCTTCTTTTTGTGTGCGTTGGTATTCGATTTTGTCTGTGGTGTAGGGCGAAATCGGCATGGCTCTCTGGGCTCGGGCGTCGTCGCTTTCGAAGTCAGGATGGGAGCGTGCAGGTCTTGAGTCGCCGGTTTGATTTCTTGCTTCTTCGTAGATGTCTTGGTAATTTTCAGTCTTGGCCCAAAAGCAGCAAAAAGCGTTTTCATTGCTGATTTTACTTGAGATTTTGTTAAATCGTCTTCACTTTCTGATTTTGGATCATCTGAAGAGTTTGAGACTTCTTTCTCACTTTCTTCGTCTGATAGTGTTTTTCGCGCCAGAAATTTTGAACTGAGCGTTTTGATTGGCTCTGCTCCATTCTCTTTTGAAGTTCGTTGAAACCAAGATGGCTGCCATTCAAAATTTCGCGCGGGATCACATCTTTTTTTTTAACAACTATTTTCTCAGTAGTCATCTCACTTACGATTTTTTGATCTTTGGGTTTTTCTTTAATGACGTTTTTCTCTCTCGCTGCTCCGCTGTTCTTCAGCATCTCCTGGAGGTCCGCGATGAGACTTTCATCATTCTTTTGGCTTTTTAGTATCTTTAATATCTCTGACCTGAGTTCGTTATTTTCTATTTCGATTTCTTTCTGGTCATTATTTTCACTCATTAGTTCTTCTTCTTCAGTGGTGTATTCTTCGGATTCTCTCGAAATCGCATTGGTGGATTCGTTGATCATCTCTTGATCAGTTTCTATTTCTTTGCTGTAGGCCCTGGTGTTGGGCCTATCTTTCTTGGACATTTTTAATTACTTATTGAGTCAATTAACATCCTCTGCTACCAGCTTGTTGCAATATTTTCAGGATCAGACTCAATAAAGATAATAGAAGTTAAAGCTTTAAATATATTTCTTTTTAATTATGATAGGCATTCTATATTCACTGAATATTCGAGGTAGAAGCAACGAGAATGGTGAGGGTGGCTCCTTATATATACAAGGGGTGGAGCTAGGAATGGGAGTGGTAAGTTATGAATACATTAAAGTCCAAAGAATAAGTTAACCTCTGATGTTCCATATATACATTATTTACACATTGGAGAATAAGGCATTTACATCTGACAAAAACAACTGGAAGCCCAAGCAAACCTCAGCTCTTCCAGGTATTTGGGCTGCTCCGAAGTCACGGCATTTGGACATGATGGCCTGCAAAGTTCATAGACAATTTCCATGCTGAAGTTAACCTTTCATCTGCTTCGGTGGTGACCTCTTACGGAGAAAGTAGGCTTGGCCTCTGTTGCACACTTCAGCCTGGCAATAGGTAGAGTTTGAGGACTCTGAGACAGGGAGGGAGGCCTTTAAGTCATTAGAATAGAATAGAATAGAATAGAATAGAATAGAATAGAATAGAATAGAATAGAATAGAATAGAATAATGAATGAAGAATAGAATAGAATAGAATAGAATAGAATAGAATAGAATGGAATAGAATAGAACAGAATAGAATAGAATAGAATAATGGAATGAAGAATAGAATAGAATAGAATAGAATAGAATAGAATAGAATAGAATAGAATAGAATAGAATAAGGAATGAAGAATAGAATAGAATAGAATAGAATAGAATAGAATAGAATAGAATAGAATAGAATAGAATAGAATAGAATAATGGAATGAAAAATAGAGTAGAATAGAATAGAATAGAATAGAATAGAATAGAATAGAATAATGGAATGAAGAATAGAATAGAACAGAACAGAATAGAATAGAATAGAATAGAATAGAATAGAATAGAATAGAATAGAATAGAATAGAATAGAATAGTTGGAAGGGACCTTGGAGGTCTTCTAGTCCAACCCCCTGCTTAGGCACGAAACCCTACACCACTTCAGACAAATGGTTGAGTTGTTCGTCAGAAGGTCGCAAAAAGGGGATCGCGTGACCTTGGGACACAGCCACGGTCGTAAGTGTGAACCCGTTGCCAAGCATCTGGATTTTGATCCCGTGATCCTGGGGAACCGCTTCAAAGGTCATCACTGTGAAAAACAAGTCACCTTTTTCAGTGCTGTTGTAACTTTGAATGGTCACTAAGTGAACTGTTGTAAGCAGGGCCGGATTTTCCTATAGGCTAACTAGGCTTCAGCCTAGGGCCTCAAGATCAAGAGGGGCCTACATTCAAATTGTTAGCAAAATTAAAATTACACTTTCACTATAGGTGAAAGGGCCTCATAAGTGGAATAGCCTAGGGCCTCTTTTCATCTAAATCCGGCCCTGGTTGTAAATCGAGGACTACCTGTAGCCTTCCATGCTATCAGCTAATCAACTTTTGGAAGTGCTCTGTAGGGCCAATTCTATACAGAGACGTGATGGTGGTCCCAGGCAGCAGCAGATACTAGATGAGGGGGTCTCAAAACTCGATTTCATTGAGGGCCGCATCAAGTGTGTGTTTGACCTTGGGAGGGCTGGGGTGGGCGTGGCCAGGGAGGGCGTGACCAGCTCACCATCACTCGTATTGTGGGCGCCTGTGATGGCCTGAGCACTCTGCCAGCAAAAACGGGCTCCCGAGCTCCGTTTTTGTCTGCGACTGCCTCCTGCATCCCTCTGCCAGGGAAAATGGAGCTCGGGAGGGCCGCTGGCAGAGGCACCACGGGCTGGTCCTTCGTTGTTTCCAAGGTGGTCCCACAGGTCAGATCTAAGCGCCCCATGGGCCAGATTTGGCCCTCGGGCCTTGAGTTCGACCCCCTTGTACTAGATGAAAAGAACCTAGAACCTAGAACCACTGCTTAACTCGCTTAGTTAATTCTCACTTAGCGGCAGAAATTTTGGGTTCAATAGTGGCCGTAAGTTGAAGACTACCATTTGCTGTGCTCCTTAAATCCATATCTCACCTTCCTTCCAGGCACCGTTTTCATCACAGTTGCTGCTTCTTCTCGTTTCATCCTCAGGAGGACCAACACTTGGGAGGGAGATAGCAAGACCAAGAACGGGCTGGACTTTGCCAACCGTTGTGCATTCATATCTCAGCCTGGGAGAAGTGGAGTCTGTCCTCCTGTCATTATATTCAGAAGATTTATTTCCAGAAAAAAGAGCCATCCAGAGAGACAGGCTGTCTGGCCCACGCTTGGCAACCCTTATAACCGACAAGATCTCTGGCGCTCTAGCCTGATTTCCCCACTGGGTTTAATTTGAGTTTTCCATGGTTTCCAGGGTTCACCCTACTCTGTGCAATGCCTCCAGCTGTCTCCATTCAGAGCGCATACAAAAGCTCCTGCCACTCCTTTTGTGTTCAAAAGAGGCAACACCCCTTATTATTTTGGATAATTGGCCAGGCTCTTGAACCATCCCCCCAGCTCTTCTTTTGAGGAGAGAGATGAAAGAGAGAGAGAGAGAGAGTGAGGGAGGGAAGGAGGGAGGGAGGGAAAGAAAGAAAGAAAGAAAGAAAGAAAGAAAGAAAGAAAGAAAGAAAGAAAGAAAGAAAGAAGGGAGGGAGGGAGGGAGGGAGGGAGGGAGGGAGGAAATGAAGAAAAAAGAGAAGGAAGGAAGGAAAGGAAAGAAGGAAGGAAAGAGAAAGAAAGAGAAAGGAGAGAGGGAGGGAGAGAAAGAAAAAGAAAGGGAAGGAAGGAAATGAAGGAAAAAAAGAAAGAGAGAAGGAAGGAAGGAAAGGAAGGAAATAGAAAGAAAAAGAAGGAAGGAAGGAAGAGAAAGAGAAAGAAAGAAGGAAAGAAAGAAAGAAAGAAAGAAAGAAAGAAAGAAAGAAAGAAAGAATTCCCATTTTCTTTACAGGAAGTATAAATTAGAGATTGGAAAGTTCGATTGGCAGGATCAAACAGCTGCCTCCTCCATACCAGTTCCCACAGCAGATCTATAGTTATGCAGATAGTTGCTTTATTCTCACAAAATTGTTGTTGGGCCCAAGAACCAAGAATGACATGTGGAGTTACTTCCGAGTGATTTCCTTCATTTTTCTTCACCTATAGACAGAATCTTGCCAGACTAAAGCAACTAATGCACAATTATAGATATACTCTCTGAATCGCTAGGGAGAGTTTGTCTTCGCCCTCTTCCTGCCTGCTAGACAGTCCAAGCTTTGCTGCCTCTTTGCCCTCTGGGAAAGCAGACTCTCCCCATTCCTGGAAATCCAGACTACATTCCACCCCAGGAATGGGGGTAACTAAGTGTTGGAAGACAGAACGCAAGTAGTAGATCCAGGGGTGGGATTCAGAAATTTTAGCAACCCGTTCTCTGCCTGGTTGCTGGATGGGCGTGGCCATGGTGGACATGGCCTACTCAGCCTCCTGCACTACAGGGGGGGGCGTTTTCACCCTCCTCAGACTCTGGAGGTTTTTCTTGAGCCTCCGGGAGGGTGAAAAAGGCCTCCCCCGGGCTCTGGAGGCCCTCCAGAGGCCGGAAATAGGCTCATTTTCCAACTTCCGGTACATCTGATAGGCCTGTTTTTTACCCTCCCCAAGCTCCGGAGGCTTTCCTTGAGCCTCTGGGAGGGCGAAAACAGCCTCCCCCAGACTCTAGAGGCCCTCTAGAGGCCAGAAATGGCCCCACTTTCAGACTTCAAGAATTTCCAGTAGGCCCGTTTTTCGCTCTTCCAGAGCCTCTGCGCAGGCCCTGCACTTACCTGGCATCCAAAACGGGCTGCGTGGAGATTCCTGGGTGGGCAGGATCAGCTAGTCCTGGCAACAACTGGATAGCCAAACCAGATTAAAATTAACATCCAATTTGCCCGAACCGGTCCGAACCAGCTGAAGCCCACCCATGAGTAGATCCATTCTCTCTCCTGTTTAGTTTTCTGCTTTCCCACTGCTTACAGTCCTCATGGTTTCTTCAACCCAAGTTAAAATCCTCACTGAAGTGATCCAAGGTGACATGTGGAAGAGATTCTCTCTGAAACTCTTTCTCTTTCCCCCCCCCCCTCCCGCCCCCATCCCACCCCAAGGTTTGTCTTCCGCTTATCTACATTCTCAAGGCCTGCTACTTTGGAGGGTTGGGTAAAAAACTCAGATTATGCAGCAGAAATAGCCAAGAATCTCATTTTGCTCAAGGCTGTCTCAGCAGCACCAGAGCCCGCCGAGACCTTCAAGCGTGGAAGATTGCATCTTGGGTGTTGAAACAGGTTAGTCTTCTCCTGCCTCTGAGCCTCAGTTTCCCCATTGGGTCCCAGGCTAGTAAGAAACCTCACTTTCTCTTTAGAGAAAGAAAAGCGCTCACAACCGACTCTGAAAATCAAAGCCACAGGTCAAAAGTCTGGCATAAAATGTTGCCTGACAATATTTGCAAATCTTGTTTATAAATACCCAGCAGCTCCAAGGTTGCTCTGTCCATCAGTCCCTGGAAATGAAGATTGCTGTGATAGCCTTGAACTTCGAAAGTTGTTGCTGGATTTTTATTTTTATTTTTATTTTTAAATGAAGACGTTCGGCAGTGAATCATCAGAACAACGTGGTAGCCATCTGGGCCTTCGAGCAAATTTGAGAAAAAAAAAAAAACTTCCAAAACTTGAATTTCCAACATGATCCAGATCATTGACCCATGCACCAGAATCCTTGTGTGGAAATGTTTGATAAGAGTTATAGATTAACTGTCCGTGTTGGGTCCGGAATGTAAATTCCACGAAGACACGAAGTCTTCCCTGTTCTTTCGGATAGCAAACTTTTCCTCATACCAGAATTTTCAAAATATCTTTGGATGGTACCTCACATGACCAGGGACCAAGGGTGAAATCCAGCAGGTTCTGACCAGTTCTGGAGAACCGGTAGTGGAAATTTTGAGTAGTTCAGAGAACCGGTAGTACAAATTCTGACTGGCCCCCCACCCCCCATCTAGGTTTTGGAAACCTGTCAGAACAACCTAATCTGATTTTGATTGATGGATAGATTATGTGTCCTCAGCTTGTTTTTTGGTTATTCTCATATTCCCATCATGCATATTCTCCACGATAATGTATTACCATAGAATCATATAATGTATTACCATAGAATCATATAAGCATAGAATCATTATATAATGTTATTAATTATTAATAATATATTACACAAGAATAGAATCACACCGTCTCAACGTCTTTTTTGTTTGTTCTTTTTTTGGTCACCATATTATAAAAACGATGTTGAGACCCTGGAAAGAGTGCAGAAAAGAGCAATGAAGATGGTTAGGGGGCTGGAGCAGAGGTGGGTTTCAGCAGGTTCTGACCAGTTCTGGAGAACCGGTAGCGGAAGTTTGGAGTAGTTTGGCGAACCGGTAAATATCACCTCTGACTGGCCCCGCCCCCATCTATTCTCTGCCTCTCGAGTCCCAGCTGATCGGGAGGAAATGGGGATTTTGCAGTAACCTTCCCCTGGAGTGGGGTGGGAATGGAGATTTTACAGTATCTTTCCCCTGCCACGCCCAAGCCATGCCACGCCCACCAAGCCACACCCACAGAACCGGTAGTAAAAAAAAATTGGATTTCACCACTACCCAGGACCAGTAGTTGGGGAAGGTTGATAATTCAAGACAATGCCTTTATACAAGTAATCCCCAATTTAGGATCACAGAATTGAATGAATATTCTGATTAATAAAACAATCAGGGCCAACAGAAGTTTCCAGAAAGGGCCATAGTTCATTAGTAAAGCATTTAGAGTTCCAGTGTTTGAGGGGCTGCCACAAAGAAGAGGGGGGAGTCTACCTATTCTCCAAAGCACCTGAAGACAGGAGAAGCAGCCAACGGATGGAAACTAAGCAAGGAGAGATCCACTCTAGAACTAAGGAGAAATTTGCTGACAATGAGAACAATTAATTAGTGGAATAACTTGCCTCCAGACATTGTGGGTGTCCCAACACCGGAGGTTTTTAGGACTAGACAACCATTTGACTGGTTTTCCTGCTTAAGCAAGGACTGGAAGACCTCGAAGTTCCTTCCAACTCTGTTGTTCTATTATCTCCTTCTAATTGGAACCAGAATTTTCATCCTCGGTTATCAAGTGCATCGCATCTGATTTTGCAACCTGTTTTGGCGGGTTCAAAGATTCCTGTGCATAACACGGAAAGGTTACGTTTGTCTTTTAAGATTGTTAAGAATAATAACCAATCAATAGCTCAGTCTCTGATTAATAGACCTGCCAATGACTAATCATCTTCCTTATCTCCTTTCTTTTGTATTTCTCTTTAACCAGGTTCTTCCTGCGTAAACCAAGATTTTTATGCAGCCCTAGTTCAGTGAAATCACAATTCACTAGTTTCTAGGCTTTTTTTCTGGCAGCCAGCAAATACATACTTTTTAAACCTACGATAAGAGAAGAAAGCAAATACTTAGCCTCCATGGGGAGGGAACATATGGTAAGGGTCTGTCTAACTGATGAGGACCAATCAGTCTGAAATAGATCTATATTAGTCTCCCAATAGGCAGCAAAATGCATGCTTGCTGTCTAAAGAAGCCTAGGATAGTGGATGTGATTTCACTGAGCTATGGCTGCAATTTGAGAAACTTGGTTTACATAGGAAAATACCCAGTTGAAGAAAAATACATACTTTTTCTGTCTTATTTTTTTTTTAACCCCGAAATAAGCACTTGGCCTTATTTTCGGGGAGGTCTTATTATTTTGGGGTGCATGGAGGAAGACGGGGCTCCTCTTGCCATCTTACCTGATTTCCAGCTCTGTCTCCCTAACCCTAACCAGAGGAAATGGTGGGGACTGGCTGTGCATGTGGTTAAATATTTTTGGGGAGGGCTTATGTTGGGGGGGGGCTTATTTTAGCACATGCGCTCAAAAGTCCGATTGGGCTTATTATCAGGGGATGTCTTATTTTCGAGAAAACAGTATATATATATATATATATATATGAATTTAATTAATTAATAAACATTGTGTTGTCTGGGTATTTAATTTGCTTAACAATACAGATTACATTCTTAATCTCGACCCCTTTTTTCCAACCACTGGTAAAATAAATTCCCTGTTTGATAATATTCTGTATCTTCCTTCTGTTTAATTTTCAGTGTCAGTCTATCCATTTCGGCCCAATCTAGTACCTTCCTAATTATCTCTTCGTCTCACGGTGTTTCTTTATTTTTCCAATATTGTGCGAATATAATCCTCACTGCAATGTTAAATATATACTTTGCTTATCAGGTTTTTCTGGTATGATGCCTAATAAAAACAGTTCAGGTTTAAAATCTACATC